CTGGTCTGTGTTAGGCATGTTAGGACCATCTTTGAGCTCTGATTTTTTTAAAATGCACATATATAGACATGCATTCAGAGGGCAGAACAGGAAACATATCCCATTAACAATGTTTCTGATCAACTACTATATTACAGGGTCAGAAGTATTTGTGGATAGGCTTATTCAATCTATCCATACCGATATCATTAGATTCTACCAGATATTAAGGACAATTTTTCTCCCTTCAACACATTGTAGTTCCAATACATGAAATTCCCCTTTCCCATTATCATGGACTTTATCTTTTTTTAATGGAATATAAAATACAGGTGTAATTTTATAAATTATAAAGCCCAACTGATATTGTGTGCAGGAATATATTCATCCACATTATTGTTCAGTAGTGCTAAATCAGGGTTGCCCATTTTTTAAATTAGGCACAAGTGTACATTTGAGCTTTGAGCAGCACACGTCCAGCTACATTCCAAAACATTACGAGGATAACCCTTTATCTGTTTAATAATGTCACTCTTCAATCACATTCAGCATTACAATTTATTAATAACAGTTCTGGAGATTCTAGGGGTCACAGGAAGTTTTCTAGTCCTGGGCTCAGAAATGCTCAAGTATCTTAGACACTTCCAAAATAGGGAAATGATTTAAATTCTTCTTGTAGCTTTTTGGGGGAAAAGCTCATCAGAAAGGAGAACTAGCTTTGGGATTCACAACAGTATTTTTATTGCTTTTGGCAGTTAAGGAAAGCTCTTCTGACAGTGAAGATTTTTCAGTCATGGTTTTCAGTCATGGAAACCGGCACCTCGGGAACCAGTAATGACAGTAAGTAAAGTCCATTGCTATCAGTTGCAGAGAGACAGTAACTCCCTCCTCAAACTTGAGATATTGGAACAAATAAGACATTGAGGAAAGAGACAGTAGTGGGTTCTATTATAATATATTAGGAAAATAACTGTTTCCCCAGGTAGTTATTGTTGTTAAAGGACTCAGGGGAGGTTTCTCACACATAAAGAGCTTTTTGTGCAAGAGATGTAATTATTTTAATCAGCATAATTTTGCTTCCATGTTAGTTTTCCCTGGCTTGGGCGTTTGACTATAGTTTAGCATAGTTATTACCTTTTCATTCAAGAGAACTCTACAATGTGCATCCTTGCACACTGTTGATTTGATAGAAATAAAATATTAAGCATAAAGCAAGTGGAACCTAGGAGACGAAAGAGCCATTCAAATATGCATCCGTGTAAGAATTCCCACCAGTGTCCCTCTTTGTATTAGGGCTGCTTCTCATGAGATTTGGAGACTGTGGCATTTGCACAGTCAATTCATTTGGAAGGCCAGTAACTTGACGAAAAGCATACTAGGAAAGTTTCTGTTTCCATTATCTTCTAATAATCTTCTGATCCTTCAGACTCAGGAACATCTACCTCATAAAAAAAAAGTTGTGCAATTTGAAACAAGCTTTTGCTGATGTCTGTTTCAATTCCCAGCTTTACCGTAGCACTGATTCAAAATAATAATTGGATATCATAGGCAAGAAAGAAGAATGAGAAAAACATGGGAGGGGGAACAGTCAGACTTTTGGAACTGTGCCAATTCAATAAACCAGTTCCAGCTGAGAAAACCTCTTCTTAGTGATGTCTTATTAACTGTTAAGTGAATCTGGCTTCTCCACTGACTTTGCTTGTCAGAAAGGCGCAAAAGTTAATCACATGACCCCGTGACACTGCAATCTTCATAAATATGCGCCAGTTGCCAAGTGTCCGAATTCTAATCATGTGACCATGGGGATGCTAAACAGTTGTAAGTGTGGAAAAAGGGTCATAATTCACTGTTTTCAGTGCCGTTGTAACTTTAAATGGTCACTAAATGAACTGTTGTAAGTTGAGGACTATCTTTACATTGTTTAGTAAAATGAGGTAGGACAGAATAAACCTGGTGTTCTTGGTATATATTAAGGCCAGATTTAGCAGTGCAGAATAACAAAAATGAACACAAATATAGCCGTGGTGGTTCTTCTATACTGAAGGCTTACATTTAACTTTCAGGCTTTGAATAATGTCTTTTATTGAACAAATGCTAACTGATTTTACATTCCATCACTTTTGCAGCTGGGCAAGTCAGACTGAACATATAAAATGCCTTTTGCACAAGTCTTATAATAGGACTGAATGGAGAGAGAGGTTATGCTGCCTCAGGCTTTATTTTAAGAGCAGAAAAAAGGAAGAATGATATGAGTCTGTTTTCCCCAACTCACATGCACAGTCATGTATTTTGCCAGCATTATAAGTTGGGAAATTATGAAAGGAAAAATAGCATTTGAGTTAAGGGTGTGGCACAGGCAAGAAAATTTTCATCTCAAATTCTCCCCCGCCCAAAAAAATAAATCTTACCTTGACACCTACAAATGTCTCTGTATAGTTGAACAAGAAGGCTACACTCTGTGAAGTCCAACAGCAATACGCAAAGACCTATGTGGCCATTATGGATTACAACTCCCTCTTTCATTTTTCAGACGTTCAAGACAACACTCGACACAACAATTCCTATGGTCTCTCTGATAGGAATAGTGTTCGCTCGAGATACGGTTTCAACTATATGATGTATCTTCCTGCTACAACTGATCTGTATCTAAGAAGATGCTGCAAATGCTAACTAGCAAGCTAATGAATAGGATGAGTGTGTGTGGCTTCTTCAAATACAAAGCAGGCCTCATAATTTGTCTGACAAAGTACACTTACTTTTATGAGTTGCACTTCCAGTTCTGAGGCAAGTGTTAATAGGTGTTTAGCTACTTTGGAAGGAAGAATCATCTTAAAAGTTATGTGAAGTGTTTTAGCATGAGAACAGAAGTATCCTGATTCATTGTGAACAGGTTCTCTTGCTGTTGATCAACCAAAATGGGGATGGGTTGAGCTGAAGAAAGGAATCTCCCTGCTAAACTGAGAAGCTGGCAAATAATTTGGCGCCTAGTAAGGGTCAGATTCTTCAACTGTGATTGATGGCTTCTCCCAGCAGCATTTTCCCAGAAATAACTTTATATCACTTTTCTAACAACCAAATTTAGCAAAGCAAAAAAAGAAAGAAAGAAAGAAAAAGAAAATGGAAAGGTCCTTATGGAAGGTCAGGTAAGGTCTGGAAGGCTTCAGAACCTTTTTCCCAAGTGCTTTTTCATAATTAATATGAGAAAAGTCAACTTTTTTTACATTGGTAAATTGGAATTGAGAGATCTACACTATGTTTAAGCATAAAGAAATTAATCTAGTTTAATGAAAGCCACTTTTCTTCTCCAGTTAAGCCCTAACTTTGCAAACATAATTGAAATTCTGCATTTACCTATACATAATGATATGAGCAAGTGAATGGGTTACTGCTTGATAGCTTTATTCAATATCTTCATATAAGTCTGGAAATAACACTGAATATCTGTGGGTTGGATTCAGTTACTTAAGGAAACACACTGCAATTCAAGGGTTTTGAGGCTGGTTGGAATCTCGATTTCAGCAGGCTTATTCTAAGCATGTAAATCTGAATCCAATTTACAAAATATTTTTGCTATATTAAGTTCTTTATAGAGATACTGTATGAACTTATCAAAGACTATATTGCTTGCTTATATTTTGAATATATAGAAAAGGCAGAATTTCAATTACTACAAAATCTGGACTGAATAAGAAAAAATAATTTAAAGGATACACCTATTCTTAAGGCTGATGTTCCCACATAATCCTTTTATGAATTTGGATATTACTTTTCTATAAACCTATATTCCAGTTCTGCAATTCAACAGGACCCCATTATGGCAAGAATTGAAGCAGAACTTTGGAGGATCTAAGCATTTTCATGGTTTACAAATATTTAACTTCAACATAAGAACATAATGAAGATATTATGTAAATGCCATTGAGATCAATATGCATTTTTTAAAAAATTTGAACAAAAAGGAACAGCTTATAGCTTGGATTGTTGCATAATGTATATCTTTGTAAACCTCACTCCAAAATTATCTGGTATTAATTTTGAAAACCACAGTACTTGGCTTCAAAATAGTCACAATAATTATCTATACATACCTGAGTTCCAATTCACATAAAACTTTGTTTCTTTTGTTAGCAGATACAGTTTGTAGGACTTATATGGATAAAGATACAGTATGAACTATGGCAAGTAATAAATCCCATGAATATGGCAGCATTTGCTCCAAATGCCACAATAAAAAAAAACAGGGCCACCTACTAGCCATATGTGGGTGATTGTCATAACACTACCCATATTACAGATCAAAGACCAAGTAATTGTATCCATCTATGTGCCAATGGATTGGCAAGACTGCTAGAATAGCATTGCACATTTTACCTTAATGCTGACACTTATGAAAATGCATTTTTATCTTTCAATCTAAAAATGCTCTACAACTTTGAACTGAAAGTACATTTGTTGTAAAAAGACATGAAAAAGTTGAGGTAAATGAGGAATTGTTTGGAACCACCCATGTCTCACATAAAGATGTGGGTCACCTAACTTGAAGAAAATACAGTTTTGAGGTACGCTACGTATTTCTTTCAAGCACAAATAAATTAAAATGATTTGTTCAAATGGTCCTACACTGCTTGCTATTTGGTAATTCCATGTTGAAAATGGTAACCAAGCAACATAGCTTGTTTACATTAGTGGAAGTAGAATCTAGTACCTGAAAACAATGTGTCTGCTGCTCAAGGAACATGAGGGAAAAAACCCCCATATCCTTCAGACTAAGCCAAGTGCAGCTGCCTACGGTTCCCAGTCTCTTAATCACTGGGAGAAGGCTTACACTTCGGAGCTGCAGCTGGTTACCTGAGGGAACCGGCTGTATCATCCTCCCATCAGCTGAGTCAAAGAAACCACCCTCACTCCTGAGGCCACTCAAACAGCTGTTCTAAACACCAGTGATGTAGTCATCAGAAGGAGCTTACAGTGGGCACAAATCCACTCTCCATTCTTTTCAAAGCCTGCTTTAAAAAAAGGTTGTTGGGGTGGGGATGGGGAGAATGATTCTCTCTTCACAGCAGCAGTTTAATTGGAGAGTAATCAAGTTGTTTCTTTCAACTGCTCTGCTTGCATAGGGACACTGTCCCCCTCAGTGATGAATCAGGCTGCTGAATCAGAGAAGCTGGCCTGTGTTGCTCATGGGAAATCAAGTACAGCCGAGACCTGGCAACAAGATATGCACAGCTGTTTGAGGCATTTCCTACAATTGGGGAGTCTTGCTCTGAGCAATCATTAAGATATCCGGCCTTTTTGACAAGCCCTGCAGGGCAGCTTTGGCAGTCAGAGGATGGACCATGTTCAGCACTGCATATCTTTCGGGCATACTTGTGTATGAATGAGTGACAGGTATCTGATGGCTGATAGTCTTAGGTAGGCTTCTATCCATAGTGGCTCTAAAGAGAAGAAATTCAACAAATTAGAAAGTAGGCTTATTGGGCCAAAGAACACTCTTCTAAGTATTTCCAACGCTTTGGTCATTAACTGGGCTGCTACTGAAGACTATTTCTAGGCTGTTGCCTCCATTAAGTCATGGCAGAATATTGTCACATTGAATACTTTTCTGCCACATTATAATAAATTGGTGGTTGGTAGTGGCAGAGAGGCATGGTGGCATTATTATACATTAAAAATGTTATCAGGGAGAGGAACCAAGTGACACAGGTAGATGTGTTAGGCAAAAAAATATTGTTATGGGAGGACAAAATAGTTATGGGGAAAATATTTGTTGAATATGAAGCATCACATTCACATTATCTTGTGTTTAGGCATAGCTGAAATTATATTGTAATTATAAGAAAAAAGAAACGATAACTCCTTTCTAAAACCCCAGAAATTAAAATTTCAGCAGGCTCATTTTCTACAATGAGCACATTTGCCAGAACATCTACAATGGGAGCAACAGGGACCAAATGAATCTACTCAAAGACAAGCAATGGCTATTGGAAGGTTGCACACCTAGCCTCTCCGGAGCTAAATGGATAAGGGTAGAAAAAACTATCACTTTTCTGTCCTGCCTGTGTCTCACAGCTGCAGAAGCAAGAACAGGTAACTTCTGTCTCTTTCAATGGATGGGAATTAAGTGGTAGCAACAGCAACACTTCCAGCAAAAGAAGATCAACTTAGCTTGCAACTTAATAAATAGATGTATGTTAATGATTAAGGATGTCCCAGATTCAAGTCAAATCTCAGTGAAGGATTCTTATTTGGTGACTTCAGGCTGGTTATCTTTTAGCCAAACTTTATAAAGGTAGTCCTTGACTTGTGACCATAATTAAGCCTGTAGTTTCAGTTGTAAGTTGTGACTGTCATTAAGCAGGTCATGAAACAGCACCCGATTTTACAATCTTTTTTGCAGTGGTCATAAATGAATGCAGCAGTCATAAAGCAAACCCATTGTTCACTACAGGGCATTTTATTTTGCTGGAAATTGGAAGTAAATACCAGTTTCTGGCAAAAATGTTGTAAATTGTAGTCACATGATTGCAGGGCATTTCAAAGGGCCATAAATGCAGGCCAGTTTCAGAATGCCCCAAATGTGGTCATATGATGGGGAGGGACAGCCTAGAATTTTAAATGTAGATTATAAGTAATCTTTTTAAGGACCCATCATAACTTTGAATGGTTGCTAAGCAACCTCTAATACCTTGAGGACTATCTGTAGGACGTAATGAACAAGATTGCCCAAAATTAAAACCGTGCCAACAGTTTTGACCATTGTGATAGCATTAGGCTAGTGATTTAAGCAACCTCAGATACGCTTAACCTGGCCCAATATTATAACTGTAAACCGGCTTCTATTCCATTAACTTTGGGGGTAAGATCCAAACCTATTTGCTGGTCCAAATGTTGCTGGTCCTGAAATGGGTCTCATAATCTGTTTGCTGCCACAAACTGTTGGTCTCTTTGTGAAGACTGCTGCATTAGAGGGTGTATCTGGTTTCCTGTGGAGATTCAGAACAGCAGTCCTTTCAGCCATATGCTGCACTTCATCCCTGTTCACAACTAATGGAGGCTGCAGTTTTAACACAGCTTTTTTTGAATTGGGTATCTTCAGGTGCCTAGCTCTCACAAGTCCAGCTGTCACACCCATGGATGCAGGTGAAGGGCATTTTGGAGGAGAAGGTTGGAGAGGGCGCTTTACAATACTTGGTAACGCATTTGCAAGGCTATGTGATGAATCTGGAATGTAAGGGGAAAGCACACCGTTATTTTAGCAACAAAGTATTTCATCCAAAAGATTGCTATGAGTTCTGTAAGAGGAATTTACTCAGATGGAAACAATGGCCTAAATTCCCAACTTTAATAATTTCAAAATTCTAAAGGGATAATTTTATACACAGCATTCAATTTCAGGGAGATATCTGTCTTTTCTGAATATTTTAGATAGCTTAATAACAAAGAATATAAATAGGGTTTTTAAAGAATCTGTACTGAATAGCTTCTTCTGCCACATTTTTACCAGGTGCAAAGCAAAACTTGAGAACCAATTTTATGTAGAGTGGTTAAGGCATCAGGTCAGAAACTGGGAGACCAGGACTTCTAATACCACCTTAAGCACAAAAGCCACCTGGATAACCCATGGCCTAATCGCTTTCTCTAGACTGTAGGAAGAAGGCAATGGCAAGCCACTTCAGGAAAAACTGCAGGGACTTGTTCAGGCAGTCTCTGACAATCACACACGGTTGAAAGAAAAACAATAGCAGAAGAACTTAAAAATATTTAAGCTAGAACTTGACAATTTTCTATGTAATTCTACTGTGATTAAAGGAATTATATACTGTATATATTAAGTTTGTTCAGATTCTCAATGTATCTCTCAGCTTTTCCTAAACAGTTTGTGCACTGTGCTAAGCCATTTAACGACTGCAAACTATGAACTACAGTACTGTAGTTGAGTTTATACAGCAAAGGGTTGGCTCATCTCAGTGGCTTGCCTATTCCATCTTTTTAGTAACGTCTACATTATTTGCATCCAAAGATACTGATCAATATCTATAGTGAGACAGGAGAACTGCAGACTTTGCTGCTATTGTTTCTAATACACTATAAATTCCATATTTATTTTTCTTTCTCACTCCCTCACAGTGAGCTAAGAGTACCATTTCCTTTTCCTCTGCATTTGCTTCCTTTAATGATACTGCACTCTAATCTTTAAATATTATATATAAATGACACTCCAGTTTGCCCTATTAGTTGTATACCTGATGACACCTGAGAAAGATGGGGACAACAAGAAGCTTCTGATGAGGTAATTTGTGTGATGTCCTCCTGAAAGGCTTCTTTGAAATCTTCATGACAGGTGTCACTCAGGTTGCAGCCTTTTTCTTCCTCTTCCCGTTCTTCATCACTATGTGTTATTTTCAACAGTTGGGGAGATTTCACCCTTTGGAGGGCTTGCAAGTGCCTGCCAGAAATTTACTTTTTAATTAGATGCCATCCTGCCCAAATTTTATAATATACTCTACATTAAAATTATGCATTATTTATTTGCATATACTATAGCCAACTTACATTGTGTCATATACCTTTAAACTGAAATAATTACCAGAAGCAAAGAAATCCACAGTAATGCTGTTGTATTGAACTTTGCCCCATGCTATACTCTAAAAAAATAGATAAATAGATAGATCAAATTCTTTATTGGCCAAGTATGATTGGACACACAAGGAATTTGTCTTGGTGCAAATGCTCCCAGTATACATAAAAGAAAAGATACATCAGTCAAGAAAATCATCCCAAACTCAGATTTTATGGCATTTACAGAAAAATAAGCTAATTCAGTCTTTAGCAAATCTCTCTTGAGGAAAAAAAAATTGCCACAAAAAAACTCCAGGACTTATTTCTGAGAGCATTGTTTTTGTCTGTCTTCTAATCTGACATCAGTACAATCCCCTCACCCACCCACTTTATTCTTCTCAAGCAAACTAGCCCTAAAATCCTAAATATGGGGTTTTCTTCATTTTGTAACCACTGATGTTGGCATAGTAATGTCTCATAGTGAGTATGATGGAGGGCTGTAACATTAAATAAAGGATATGCAGATTCGTTATTATCATGAATTTTCTCTTCCAAATAATTAAACAGTTGACTGCATTCTACCACCAATACAGAAAAGACAATAGCTTAAAAGTGGAAATTCAGATACTATAGCAAAAGCATGAACGTAGGTGTCTTTATTTTTGAATAGACAGCTATTTAAAAATTCTTAACCATTTTTATTTCATTTATCTTCCTTTGTAAACTATAAATGCTGAATGAAAATAGGAGGAAATATGAACAGTTCCTGAGCATGGCCACAAGATGGCTGACATGCTTAAGACGGTGAAAACAAGCTCAACTTATTTTTTCCAAAATGATAACCTAGAATAGTTACTAAAGGATAGATTTTTCATGGACTTTCATAGGTTTCACCCTGAAAAACTGTGTATATATTGAATGAAACCAGAAAAAACAGTATAAACAATTCCCCACCAAAACATTCCTAATGTTTGTCTTTCCATAGGCTTTAGAGTGTGACATAATACAATCTGTTCATCACCAAGTGAAGATTACATTCACGTGTTGATTTATTTTGAGAAACTCTAAAAAATTCTGCTTAATAATGGAGTAAATTTTGGCTCTTACTGGTAATGATGTTCTTGTAAGACCTTCAGCTCAGCAAAGATGTCTCTCTCATTTACACTGCCAGTTTCTTCAAAATCATAATTATGTTCTGCCAGATGACACGGTGGCTGGAACAGGTTTGTTACTGCAGACTACAATATTAGATAAATTATATAAAACTGTATCTGCATCCACTGAAAAAAATAATTTTGCCAAGGATTATTTTTTAAATCCTAATTTCTCTCATAATCTCCCCATCATGCCCAATGTTTATTGTACCAACAGTGACCTGCTATTGTGCCACAGTTTCTGAAGGTAACAGGGGGCAGCTTGACATACTATTGCAAAGCAAACATGCAAGATTAAGCAATGTTGCAACCCAGCTCCATTTGTTATTTGTCTCCTGGGGAAGGCTTAGTTGTGTTTTTTCTCAGATTTGTTCCTTCCCTTGAAATGTCGCTAACGGCTTTCCCACTTTACTTTCACAAGTATGAGTCTCCATGGTGAGTGAGAAGGCTTGCCAGAAACGAATTCATGATTAAAAGAAAAAGGCTGATAATTTAATTAGCAACACACCCTTAACAAGAAGCAGAAAACTTTATATGGGCTATTCATCTCTAGAACCAGACTGAGAAACATAGGTTTATTCTTCTTACATGACAACTGCCTTCTAACCTTCCCTCCCTTCAAAAATGTACTTATAAAGAAACTTACACCTAATTTCTGTCTTCGTGCATGAAGAGCTTTGATGGGGTTCCCACATATAACTCTACTGACACCTGGCAAAAACAAAATTTAAAGTGTTGTACTTTATACTTTCATATGCTTAAAAAACTGTTTTCTTTACCCAAAACGTCATACACAAGCTGACATGCAATTATGTTTTCTGCATATTTAGAAAGAGATATTCAGAAAAAATATACCAACTTTCTATTTTAGTCAGTTATTACTCTAACCCACAAAAAAAAAAAAAACACATTTGTGAGCTGAGGTGGATTTAGTAGGAATGGGCAAAGGGCTCAAGAATATCTTCCCTCATTCAGTTTAAGATAAGCATGATAGTTAAATTGGGAAAAAAAGTGACAGAAATTTCATTATCTGGGCAGGAAGAGGTCTGAGAACAGCCAACCACAAGGCAGAGATTACTTGATTAAACATAATCTCTAATGTTAACATAAAACTGAGCCACTCTTTAATACATGTGGTCATTTCCCAGTTTCAGTTCCAGAAAAATTTCTGCAAAAGCAAGCCTATGGAAATGTTTGTGTACATACATTTATCAGAAGCAGATAAATGCAAACCTTTTTATAGGAGAGGGAAGTCTGTTCTTGTTTGCTTCCACATGTTTTGTTAAGAAGAGGCTGAAGCAGGAGTGTCAAACTCGATTTCATTGAGGGCTGCATCAGGGTTGTGTTTGACCTTGGGAGGCTGTGTTTGACCTTGGACATGGCCAGCTCGATGCCACTTGTGTTGGGGACACCTGTGGTGGCTCAAACACTCTGACAGCAAAAACAGACTCCCGAGCTCTGTTTTCAGCTGCAACGGCCTCTTGCAACCCTCTGCCAGTGAAAACGGAGCTCAGGAAGGCTGCCCTCCTGAGCTCCGTTTGGAGCAGAGGCACCATGGGCCAATCCTTTGCTGTTTCCAGGGTGGCCCTGGGGGCCAGATCTAAGCACCCTGGGGGCCGGATCCAGCCCACGAGCCTTGAGTTTGACACCTCTGGGCTAGAGGATAGGAAATGGGCAAGAAAAGCACAAAATGTTCATTACCATGTGTCAGGTCACTTGAATCATCATCAAACAATAACTCATCACAGATGGTGGATTCCAGGAGAGTGCTACAGCCAGAAAGCAAATGAGCACTGGGAGATCTCTGGAGAGCCTGAGGTCTGGAACCTAGCAAAAAGTGAGTTGCAGCAGGCCGTAGAGCAGAGCCCAGCTTTCTTGTTAGGAGTCCTAACTGAGAATCTAAACCGAAGAAGGGTAGGGGGTCAGGAGAAGAACGATAACACGATACTGTAACATGAATATGTTGTACTTGAGAGAAGCACAGAAAACAAAATTAATTTATGCCCATAAATTAAAGTAATATTCCCGCTAGAATGGATGCAAATGATATGTGTGTAAATTAAATATTCCCACTAAAGTAATATTTCTGTACCGTTACCAAAAAAAACCCCAGATTCATCCATGATTACACTAAACATTAGAAACTTCATAAGCTAACTCCAGGAATACTATGCCATTTATTAATCACAATTCTTTGGGCAAATGTATTCACTCAAGTCAGTGACTAATCAGGTCAGAATGCTACAGAAAGTGCAATCGTTCATAAAGACCATTGCAATGTAAGGATTTTGAAAACAGAAAAATGTGTATACATATACATGCGATACCTGAAATACTAAATACGGAGCTCATCCCTGAATTGCATTACCATGCTTTCATCCTGTGTCCTTGAGCTGAGAAATCATGGCAGCATAAGTCACACCCACTCAGTTTCCCTTAATGTGCAGGATATGGACTGTGCTGTACTATCTGTATTGCTTCTCCACAAGGCACTATATAAGGGCAATAACTTGCCATTTTATTTGCCTGAAATTTGAATGTTACTTACTACAGGAAACGCTGCCACCAATCACTTAGGGTACATACAGTAGGATTGTGTTGTAAAATCTGGCTTTGTCATCCATTCAGCTATTTTGCTACTGTTCTCCCAGTAAAAAGGACTGTTAACTTATCAACCTACAAACCAGTAGATGGCAACAAAGAGTTCTTTCTTAACTGTAAGGTAACTGGTTGCCTCCATTTGTGCAGTATAGATATAAGTGGGTTGTTAAGTATTCTTGGAGCCAGATTTCAAGGTTGGAGTTTTTGTGTATCTGTGCAAGAGATGTTTAGCTTATGACAAATAGTGTCGTAGTTTTTCCGAAATGACTAACCTCTCAACCAATTGATTAACCATTTGATGACAGCGAAGTCAAGAGCTTTTTGTCTCTCTTGGCTATAATCTAGGGGTAATTTGGATTTGTGCAGCCAAAATGCAGTTGCTGCTAAATACTGTTGAAGAATCAGAGTTTGAGAAATTACTTTATTGATTCTGGTATCAAATTAAGATATACCTATTCAGTACAAAAGAGAAAACGTGTCTGCCTATGTTGAACACTATCTGTATCAGGTTCCAATCTCTGGAGGACTGAACTTTTTAAAGGAACTTTCCAGAAAGAGGAAGAGCCAGAGTTTTCCTAAGAACAGCAATTGCCGTATTGGGAAAATAATTCAGTTACATTTTTCACTTATGTGCCTTAAGTAGGGCAATAGGCTAATGAATTTCAGGTCTTCCAACACTCTAAGAATCCAGATGTGATTAATCTGGCAGTGGTATCAGAAGCCAGGGTTCTGCTCTGCCTTACAGTCAAAGATGGGATGAAAGGGGTCAGTCCTACACCTGTTGGGACAATGGTAGTCAAGCAGATAGCTACTCCTACCCATGTCACCTTACATCTTGGATCAGCTTCAGCCTCCCTAAGCAGTAGGCAGATTGCCTATGAGTATGAGATGGAAACTCCATTATGAGGACATATCTTCAGCAAACTGTAAGGTATGGAATGTCTTCATGCCATATGTAAACTCTGTGGATAACAGAAGGTGCTGTTGCATGAGGCAAATGTATCTATTGCCCTATCTGTATTGATTTTATAAACTAAAATAAAGATAGCTTCATAGCCCTGCTGCCTCCCTAGAGTTACTCAAACCAGAAGAGCAAAAATAAAAAGCATGAATTTTAAGATCAGTGGGTTACAAAACAGTCTACACAATATAAGCATATGTGTTTCAAGGGCTTTGTTTCAAATAAATCTTTCAAGTAGCAGTCTAGGCAACTTGACTGGATTTTGTCTTGTGTCTTGCCATATTGTTTTAATGCCCTTCTTTACCTACATAGCAACTACTATTTCCTCTGACTGGATTGGGTGATACTTGGGAATGAAATACTGGGAGTACTAAAATGTTTAGTGGAGGTTTTTCAAAGGTCCCTTCCTTATCTGCCCCTTCATTTCTTTATGCGTTCAGACAATACTTCCATTAAGTCTGTCATTAAAGCAGCTATGCACATAAATACAGACGAAGGTCATTGGTGAATGTCTTAAAAACAGATGCCCACATCTTCTAGAACATGTGCCTACTTAATGTTTCAACAACTGTGCTTTGCAAAGCACTCATCAAATGCTTTTCATAGCCTTACTGGCTGTATCTGGCTGCTTGCAAATAAAATTCTGTATTTGTTTGCTAAGGTTTTAATGTACATACTACAGGGTGAGTTTAAGAAACAGATTGCCTGTGTCTGGTTGCTTGTTTGTATGCAGAGCATTGGTTATGTTTTACTAATGGGCTGTTAGTACATTTATTTAAATGGTTGCATTGCTGGCAAAAATGCAGTTGCAGCTGGCATAGTGTCTTTGGTCTTACTGTTTTAATATTAATCAATGCTATTCATGCAATCATACAGTCCTAGGACCTTTTTGCAGCCACCAATAGCCACAATCCACCAGTAATGCTTGGAAGCATTTAAGGAAACCCTATAGATGAAAACGGGAAATGAAATTATTGCTTGGTGCCAGTGAAACTAGGCAGATGGGAGATGTTAATTAACCGCTAACTGACAAATTTTGTCCTATACAGTATACATCATCTAACACAGTAAGAATAAAAAGTTATTTGTTCTATTAGAGTTGTCTCTGATTTATACACATTTTATGTTTGTTTAAAGCTCAGGGTGGAGTCGGGATGATGCAAGGGATTACAGGGTCATTAAAAGAAAAAAGTAAATGTTTGCCTACACATCCCCTAGTACCAAATATTCCACAGATTGGTTGGCCTTATGTGTGGATTGCTATCCCACCCACTTTTGTGGCTTTAGGGGGAAAACTAAAGCATCCCAGGACATTTTGAACTCTGTCCCAATGGATCCTCAAGCTGATCCAGTTTTGCTTTGCCAGAATGAAGCTAATTCAAAACATTCTGCAAAGCTTTCCAGGTGGGACTGTGTTTTTTTTTAAGTTCAAAACGAAACAAGTAGGACTAACTGGGATAGAGACAATTTAAGAGCTACAGAACTTATTATAAAAGAACAACAACGTTTTCCTCAAAAAGAATAGCACAAGATCAGGATTCATTGTAAGCAATTTAATTAAAGAGTTACAACAGTCCTCATTAAAAGGCTACTGCTCTAAGCTATTCCGTTACAGGTCAAAAACCACCTCAAAATGGTCTTAAGCAACAAGAAAGGATGGTGGCAACAGACCCATGTCTTTTAAAACAAGCTTGAACTGAACAGTTATGAAATGAAAAGCAGTTTGAGAGATGCTGAAATCTTGGCCTGTCTGTTGCTCCCAATCTTCAGCCTCAAATTAGCAAAATGTATACAAATGAATTTGGGGATATTGAAGAAAAAAATAGCATATTGAAAAAGAATCCAGTATCTTCCCATCAGTTCCACTCCTCCACTTGAAAGGACAGTAGAGATTTCAATCCTGGTGAACAATTATTTGGTTAATGAGTATATAGTAGGACAGTTTTCTTTATTCTCTGTGTTTGTTATGAGGCAGTCGTCAAGAATGTTATAGTTATTTCCAAGCATTAATCCATATGAGGACAGATAGTGCAATTAATTAAATATAACCCTTGAAACAATTTGCATTCTGTCCTAAATGCAACTGGGAAAATATAAAATGGTTTATCCAGTAAGATGCCCCAGAAAATAAAGGGTGAGTTATTAGACTTAACCAGCTTATGAAAAAGCCGATTTAAGATGCTAAGATCCAAGGAGTAGTTGAATTTAAAAGATATGCTACCCATCAGCTTATGGCTGGTTTGAGGGAAAATCAAATATAAGCAGCCAAGGTGGCGGTGGCAGTACCAGTAGGAAATCATCAGATTTCAGAGGAAGAAGAATCTTGTACTGAAGAATCTTCAATCTTAGAAGAGCAGATTGAAAAGAAAAAAAAAGTTGATATTATTGAAATCAGATTGATGGGAAGCCACATTTTGAAATGTGTGAGATTTCACCACAGCACACAAGATCAGTTCCTGAGGAGACTGGTGGCTGAGGCTGCTTTCAAGCAAAAGAGGTATATGGGGCATAGGCTCATACAAGTATTTTTCATTTAGTGATTGCCTCACTTGGTGACCATTCACGGTTATGACAGTGATGAAAAAATAACTTGTTGGCCAATCCTTGCATCTATGACCTTTACAGATCTGTAGAGCAAAGGAAAGCTGACATAAGATCATAAGCATAGTCATGGTTTCCCTTAATGACTGCTTCACTTAATCACCTAACTGTGGTCCCAACTGTGGTCACTTAATGAGGACTACCTGTATTAATCATTCTATAAAAAAACAGATCTGTTACACTCCAGTCCTACAGGAACATTCCTACTATGAATTTGGGGGAAAATAATTAGTTAGAAATTATAGAAATGTCAATGACTTCTTTTTCTCTTTAGAGGCCCCTGGAACAATTTTGTAACAGCAAGAGTACTATATATACTCACAGATAAGACTATAAATTTTATGGCAAAATAAAAGTCAGGTTCAGCTTATCTGTGGATTGGCTTATCCATAATTATATACGGTAATACTTTTTAAAAATTCCTATACAGCATACTTATGGATAAGTCTCTCAGATAGATCAACACTTCAATTTTTAACCACAATACTATGAAAAATTAGAATCAGCTTATCCGCAGTGGCACATTTTTCATAGTATTTTGCTTAAAAATTGAAGTGTTGGCTTATATGAGAATGGGCTTATATGTGACTATATATGGTATATTTGAATCTTTACCTGTATTTTATTTCACATATAATTAGGAAGTATTATTTTCAATTATTTATGGTCATTCTTATGTCTGTGTCTAGGAACATGCCACCCAGGGCTCAATTTATGCAAATGTACTGCATTTATAGCACATCTTTTCTCTGAAAGTAGCTTATACGTGCAAAGTAGCTTATACGTGCATATCTCCTAACACAATATTAATTGTATAATATGTGATAGGCTGAGAAACAGATACCAGCTGAAAAGCACCCAAGGAGATACATGGCTCAACGGCAACATAAACCTAATCTGGTCCAAGTGCAATACTACTTTGGCATTTTCCCCTGAAAAATATAAAAATTAATGGTGATTCTTATAAAATAACAGAATGGCCTGGAGATATTCATAACCAACAGGGAATCTGTAGATTACACATGTTGGTGTTTTGTTTCTTGTTTTTGCATAATTTATATTTTAATACTCAAAAGCACAGTTCTACTGCTACCATGTTTAGCTTTACTCGAGATCCATTCTTTATGCATCCAAATGATACTAAATTTTATTGCATGCTACCTACCCATAGTCACTTTGTGTTGAGATGGGTGGCCATATAGCTGTGACAAATAAGTAAACATATCCCATTCTTGGCATTGATAATCAGTTTTGTATGGATGTACAGATATTCTTTTCTCTTATTGGTAATCAAACAAAGTCTTATTAAAAAATTTAGCACACCTGAACCTGAAGCTTCCTCAATTAAACCTCCTTCTTTGATTGATTCCTTGACAATAAGCCAGTCCTTATTCATTTTGCATGGAAAAGGAATAGCAGTTTGATTTGCTGGTATTTCATCCAAACATTTTAAATGAGGGATGAGTTTTTTCACTTCAACTCTGTAATTGTAATTTGGGTCCTAGAAAAAAGCCCCAGAGAAAAGAATGCCTTCAGTTATTTTGATCATGTTTATAAGAAGCAATCAGAAAAACAGGTAAAATGGGAAAATAACTATAAATGTAACAATAGCTAAACTTCTTATAAGATTAGCACTTTTTATGATCATAATAAATAAAACCCAAGCACTATTTAGTTACAGATACACTAAACATGCATCCCATGTAAATAAATTTCAATTCATTTATTTAATTATCAATATTTGGGTAACTATTAAACAAATTGCTTTTGGGGTACACTGTCTGTAAAACTTTTGTCAACTTTTTAATATCTACTTTTCCTCTCAGATTTTTCTACTGCCTCTTTTTTCCCATTTTCACCACATAATATATTACTGTTAAATTTGTTTTATCTTCCAATTAACACATTTAGATAAGATAGTGTCTGCTACCAGAGGTCTATGTCATTTATCATCTAGACTGGTCTGGGTTTCTGCTTCCCAACTGTCTGGCAATGGCCACAAGAAAAACCTTTAAAAAAGCCAAATTAGCTGCTACAGGGGCCTGATTAATCTTGAGACTCTGCAGATCACCTTAACCTACAACTACAGTTTACTGATAAACAAACAAAACAGCCATGCAATTGCCCCTTCAGTGACTATTATCATTATCCCGTATTAGGCCCTAATATTAGATGAAACCAGTCTAATGACCTGTGGTGAATTGTATGAAAAGAAATGATTCTAGTTACTGTGGTATGAAACCCATTACATGAATTCAAAGATGGTTAAGCCTTAATTAAGTAAATTGCAGTCATCTTTTTTTGTCTGTCCTTCCTAGAAAATCCTTTTGATAGCCCTCACAATTCTATAAAAAAAAGATAATCCCTCTCCCTGATCTAAAAAAATAAACCAATCCTTGATCTAAAGTGTGAGAGCTTCTTTTTACAAGTTTCCCTCTGTAACATTTTCTTATATCAAAAGTCGGCAATAAAGGAGTTCCGGTCTGCAGTGCTTCGGGGCAGGCAGGAATCCGCGACTGTGCGCGGTTTCTGCCTGTGTTCGCTGCCCGAGTGCCCTGAGCCACCCGGCTTCAGGGTTAGCCACCTCCATAGAAGGTGGTGAAGACAGGGGGGACCTGGCAGGGTCGAGAGATATCGCACCTCTCTTCCCTAGCCGGCAAACCCCCCTTTTCCGAAGGCAGTAATGGCCGCCACATAGAAGCGCTCAGCCAGAAAAAGAAAGTGCAGGAGGAGTTGTGAAGAAGTAAAAGTGTTCTTTGCTGACCGGGAAAAGTACAGCGAAACTATCCCGGATTTTAAAAGTTGCCCAAGATATATCGTTCCCAGAGACTTACAAGTGGTGAATGGAAATTTAAAAGGGAAAGTTTTTTCTTTTTTTTTTCACTCTTCTTCCTAACATGACAGCGAACAGAACCGCAAGAGAAATCGGAAAACCTTCATTGGAGGTAATTAAATGCTAAAGGGATAAGGATTTCTGAATACTCAAAAAAAAAAATCTTTTTTGCTGTAGGTGGGAAGAGAGAGGAAAAAAAACTGGAGCAGAATTTGAAAGTAAGGAGGAGATTGCCTAGAACTTCAAAGAGTTATTAAATATTAATAAGACTTCTAAAAGACTTCTAAAAGATATATTTTAACTGGAACTTTGTGACTAAACAGTAACCCCAGAAAGAGAAAGGGAAGAAAGAAGAAAGTGCTAAAAGAAACAGCCTATTTGGATTGTTTGGTGACCTTGGAACTTTTGGGAACTACCTTTGATTAAAAGCACTTCGGTGGTTGTTTTGGAAAAACTTTTTCTCTCTACAATGGCATTACTTCTGGATGAATTGAAAATTGAATACAAAAAATACAAAAAAGAAGAACAAGAAGGGAAAGATTCTCTTGGCACTCTTTTTCAATTCTTAGAAATGGCGGTTTGTACTTATGAAAAACTGACTGCGCAACAGGATGATTGGGATAAAGAAGAAGCCATCTTTGATGAACAAGTGACTCTATTTGGGGAAGGAAAGGAGAAAGAGGAAAAGAAAAAGGGGACTTTAAGACTTGAAAAAACAACCCAAAAAGAGAAAAATAGGGGGAAAAGTGGATAGAATGCTAGAAATCAACAGAAAGGGGGAAAGTAGAAGAAGAAAAGGGAGGTGGAGAGACAAGGGGGTAAAAAGGGCAAGGAGAAGAATAAGCAAGGGAGAATGGAAGGGATGAGAAGCCTCAATGGTGGGGAGCAAGATGTAAAGAAACAAAATTCTTTTAGAGACAATGGGTAAATTTAATTGAAAAAGGGATTCTGTAAAGGTACACTAGATTGTATTCTTATATTTGTACTTAGAAATAATGTTAGAAAATTGGAAGCAACATGTAATCAAAAATGGGATAAAATATTTAGTGTAATTTAGTGAAATTTTTGTGAGAAAAAAGAAGGTAATGAAATAAATGAGAGAATTGAAGTAGAAGAAATGGGAACATCTTAATGAAATAATGATTTAAAATATGTGATGTGGGGGGGAAATAATTATGGAAAGTGTAAGTGTTCCCATAAAAATATGATATTTAATTGGAAAGTAACATGTAAAGTTTTTAAGATATAAATGAATATTAATATTAATGATTAGATCTGTATTGGCATTAATAGCTGTTTTAATTACATCATATACCTATAATTTCCTTTTTTCCTTTTTCTTTATAAGAAACATTGAGTAATTTTAGAGAATAAAATTGTGAATAGAATAAATGAAATGAAATAAATGAGAGAATTGAATTAGGAAGGAACAGGAAAATTTTAATTATCCAATGTTTTATAAAATATAAGTGAAGTGGGGAGGAATTAACTATGGAAAGTGTATAAGTGTTCTCATAGAAGTATGATACGTATCTGAAAAGTAATGGGTAAAACATAAAGATTTAAATGAATATTAATACTAATGATAGAATTGAATTAGTATGGATTGTTGTTTTAATTATATTATACATTTATAATTTTTTCCTTTTTTAAAATATAGTGTGTAATTCTAGAATGTACCAAACAGAATCCCAATGGAAGTCATGTATTATATTAAGTGTTATAAATTTAGGGGAAAGAGTTAAAGGCGTCATACTCCAATCAGTGCACAGGAGAAACTTTGTTTAAAGAGAAAAGATAAATGGATAGCTGGAAATAGAACAGACAAAGAATAATAAGTATTATGATTTGAACTGAGATGAGATAAATAAAATAAAATTAAGAAAGTTAAAAGAGGTGAGAAGTTATATAGAAAATTGAAAGTGGTAATAAGATATGGAATGGTATATAAGATGAATATGAATTTGAATTTGTGTCTGTACAAAGAGTTGTAACCCAGGATCAAGCAACTTTCAGAAAAGATCTTCTATGTTTTATGTTTTGTTTGTTTGTGTATTGTCTTTGAAAATCAATAAAACTGTTTAAAAAAAAAAGTCAGCAATAAAGGGAAATTTGCCTGTCTTCTCTTATCCCTAACAAAAGAGCCCACCTAATACACAGAGTCCAGTTCCCCTGTTCTGCTTCAACCATGACGTAGACTAAGAGTGAGCATTTGGAGTACTAAGGAGAGCACCTTTGCAAAATTTTCTTCTTTAATTGCTCATACTGAATAAGAAGATCAGCATTATTTGTTTTGGTTTTTAATTTTGTTTATAATTATTTTTTTTCAAACTAATTAGCTACTTTACCACCTTAAAAAGCTAAAAAGACACTATAAAATTTTAAATCAATATGCAAAACTTTCTTTCTTTTGTAGTTTTTGGTAGTTTCTAGTCCCTACAGCTGCTATTCAGCTTTCCAGCAAAAGCCAGAAGTGTCAAGGTGATCTTTATTCATTCATCAAGATACTTCTAGCTTTCTGAGGGACTAACTGTACATGTAAAATATGTGAAGGTGAGAATGTCCAAAGAGTGACAGATCTCCTGAAGGGGCTGAAGCTATAGAAGCAAGTTCTCTTTGTGAGAATCACATCTAACTACTTGAGAAAGTACACTGTATTTCTGTTTCAGATAGGACATAAAACAAATATTTCAAATTAAAAGAGCGATCTTGATTAAAACATTGGAATATAAATAAAAGATGACAGATTCCCTTTCTTTGGAAGTGTCCAAATAGAAGTTGAGTAAGGGCAGTGGAGGAGCAGATTTCCTCAATTAGCAGTTACTTGGACTAGACCTTTGAGGTTCCTTCAATTTTACAATGCCTAAAATGCCTGCTCTCATCTAGTATTTTCATATGGTTTCAACTAAAACTTTTTCTGATTTCAAGCCAGTCGTCAAAAATGCTTTAATGAGTCATGCTTTGAGTAGGGGTTGGTTAGATGGCATCTAAGGTACCTTTCAACTCTATGATCTTATGTGGAAATTGTAATTCCAAACATTTGGAAGATACCAGCTCAAGAATAAAGTTTTCTAGGATAAGAAAAAAAATACTAACAATAAAAATGGATAAAAGCCCAACTCAAAATTGTAAACAATTACTAATCTTTCTAAAATAAGAACTCATAAACCAGATATTAAATTGGCTGAAAAGAGCCATGTATTTGTTACACATAAAAAAGATAGAAAATGAACCCAGATTGTTTATTTTATAATGAATAAATAAATGAATGAGGGAAGGAGTAGTTTTATTTAACAACAACAAACAAAAAAGAAAAGGAGAAAACCCCCAAAGCAATGCAACAATAATGTCTGATGCGTGTGTGTGTACATTTAACATAATGCTTTCATAAAGGAAGATATTTCATTCTAACAGTCAAGCACAATTTTTATCTATTTGCAAGTTGTTCAAAAGTCATAAATACAGAAACACACTTATATAAAGACACACACACACATGCACATTCACACGAAAATATTGGTCCTTGTATTATTGATTTGAAAAGATAGTAGGCTAACATGGAAGATCCTAATATACCTTAGTCTCAGGCAATTTAGAGGTGTTAAGGTAATAACATGCAATTAACTAGGACCATTATTCAAGTGAAATAATATTACAGTTATATGCTTTATACAAATATGCTGAAGTTTATCATGTTTATTATTGTTTTTTACTACTGTTTTAATTTTTATAGGGAGTTTAAGAGTAAAAAAAACCCTTAATTCTGAGTTTCTAAACAGCATCTTTTTTAATAAATCTAACTGGATATTAAAAAGAATTGACAATTGTCAGGCACATCTAGCAAACCCACTAAAATTGATGAAAAAGAATTCTGGCCATAACTGCCATTTGGCTTTTAAGAGCAATGATTAATACAGAAAAAATTGAATAGTGAAGTGATTTAGGAAGATTGCACTGAATGTAAGATATAAGCTCAACCCAGCTTCAAATTAGAACCCTCGACCAAAACTCTATATCATCTTTTTATACTTGTTTGTTCTGCTTGATTGCATCACGTACTCTGCATGCAAAAATACATCCTGCTTTGCTTCAGGCATGGCAGTCTACTCATGGCATTGCAAACTCTTGAGAATTCCAGAAGTCATTTACAAGGCCACAAGAGAACTTCAGTAATAGAAATGAAGAAAATTGTTTTTAAAAGGGTAATTTTTAGTACACATATCTCTCCTTGCTGTTTCAAAATATAATCATACCAAACAACCACAAACTGTACTGATTTTACTATACTGTACTGCCCTGTACTGATTTCTCCTAGCAACTATGCTGATACTGCACACTGTTCTGTCTTCAGAAGGCTGAATAAAGTGTTGGAGATCTCCCAAGATTAATGATTTGAAGTACAAGTCTTCTTCTCCATATTAGAGTTATAGTATGCCACTTACCTATTCATCCAGATTGAGAAATAGTTCCTCCAAGGCAAAATTCACAATAACTTTGCTACATTAAACCACAGCTTTAATTCATGATTGCATTGAGATAAATCAACAAGATATATAGATTACATGTGGCATACTAATACACACCTCTGAAGATTGTGGGCTTGGCTTCAAGCAAATAAGATTTCCCTCTATTGTAAGATTGGTCAGCTTAGTACAGAGCCGCAAGTATTGAATCTGACAAAGATCTTCAATGTTGTTTCCTTCTAAATCTAGAATTTCGAGGTTCTCCAGCAGACTAATCTGACTTAGTTCACCAATATTGTTGTAGGCTATGTAGAGTTCCTAAAGAAAATTGAAGGACTCTTTCAATATTAAGGTAAATTATGATATATTAAATAAAAATAATAAGTCATAAACAATTAAGACTTAACAGTAAAAGGAAGTCACACAGACTTTCTTATAGATAAGCAGCATGAACTTCATTTGCTTGATTGTTGTCATAGGTTTTTATTGGTAGCATATAGTATATGGCTAATAAACATAAAATCTACAATTTGCCATGATTCTTTAATATTATGCAGTAAATAATAGGAAAAATAAGAAATATGGCCTGTGCCTAGTATTGCAAAATTTAGAAAATAAAAAACAAACCATGGTTTAAAATTTTGGTTATTAAGAAAATGAGACTGTATTTCTTGTATAATAATAATAATAATAATAATAATAATAATAATAATAATAATAATAATAAT